CCACGGATCCCGTGGGTGGGTGGGCGGAGAGCCGGGCGGCGGGGCCCTGGCGCCGGGCGGGCTGGGGCTCACCCCACCCACTGGCATTTTGCCTTTTGCTGGGGAAAGAGGGCTGCAGGCCCTGCTCGAGCTTTTGGGGGTGGGGGCGGGTGTAGCTGTCCGAGTTGAGCTTGGGTCCCAGGCGCCGTAAGGAAGGATCTGGATTCCCAGAAGGGCGTGACTGATGGGGGACTCCTGAGAAGGGTGCGGGGCATCAGTTTCAAGGGTCACTGGAGCAGCCAGGGGCTGACCTCTGAAATGCCTTAGGAGTCTTCCTAGCCGGGCTCGGTGGCTCAGCCTGTAATCCCGCGCCTTTGGGAGGCTGAGGTGAGTGGATTGCCTGAGCCCGCGGGTTCGAGACCCGCCTGGGCAGCGAGACTTCATTTTTACAATAAATCAAAAAATCAACCGGGCGTGGTAGCGCGCGCCTGTAATTCCGGTTACTGGGAAGGCTGAGGCGGAAGGATCGCCGGAGCCCAGCAGGTCGAGGCTGCGGTGGCCGGGAGCGGCCACTGCACTCCAGTCTGGGCGACAGAGTGAGACTCCAATTCAAAAAAAAAAAAAAAAAAGGAGTCTTCCTTGCCCTCTTAGAGAATTAAACTCCATCTTCCACACGTGTCATTGGAAAGAGAATGCCCAGCAAGGCGGAGGAAGACCTCTCCCCCCATACGCTATCCATAGCAAGAACTAGAGTGAGGTCAGACAGAGAAAGCAGCAGGTGGCAGCTCCAGCCCATGTGTGCCCCTCAAGACGTGAAGTGACTGATCCCAGAGACGGTCTCCTTCCTGAATGACCCCAGGGCGGAGAGGTCCTTCCGGAAGGTGAGGCAAAAATGGAATTGGCCTCTGGGACAGCCAGGTTCAAGGGCTGGTAGGAAGAGGTTTGGCCCAGTCCATGGAGGGAGCGGGACTGCGACGTCATACAGACCTGAGTTCGAATGCCTCCTTATCTGCCAGACCTTAAACAAACTGCTTAATTTTTCTGAGTGTCTCAGTTCACTCCCCTCTAAAATGAGACTCTGGATACTGCCGCCTGGGGTGAGCTAAGGATAATAACTGCCCTGGAAACGGCGCCTCCCTTCCCCAACCGGGCGAACTGAGACAGGTGGCAGGACCAGGCACGGTGCCTTCTTGAGCCCACCTTAGAACAAGGCGGGGATAAGGGATTTCACGCCGGCCCTACTTCGAACAACAATCCAGTAAGTGTTTGTGTGGGAGGTGCCAGCAAAAGCTTGCAAACTCTCTCAGGTTTCTTTGTATGGTCTTTTCTCCTTCCTCCTCCACAGCCTGCGGTGCCAGGCCCGGGCGGGAAGAGATGAGGGAGGAGCGGACTGCCTCGCCCCTTTCTCCAGCCTGGGAGGAGCCAGCCGGCGTCTCCTGCAGCCCAGGTTCGCTGCCCACCTCCACCACGAGAGGTCAGCAGAGTGTCGTGGCTGCGTTCAGGGCTGGGGAGGGGGCGGGCGCGGGGGAGGGGCGTCTAGGAGTGGCCGGGAGAATGCCTGTACGTTTCCTTATTAAATTGTTTTCAGAACCTTGTGTGTGACTTCATTTTAGCTGTTCTGCTTCCTGGGGTGGTGACATCTCTACGGGGAAATCCACAAACCCTTTTATTCCCAGCCCCAGGCCCAGAAGTTGGGCTGTGACGGGGCTAGGGATTTGGGAACAAAGTTTGGACCGTGTGTCCGTGCCAGGGCCACTCCCAGGAGGGCTTCGGGCCAACCAGGAGATGGGGGGGGCGAGAAGAGAATCCCCCCTTCTTCCCCCGCAAAGCCTGGGTCCAAGAAGAGGGACACTCAGCCAGGATTCGGGGAGAACTGTCCCCTGGGCACCAGTGTTCTCCTTTTGCCAGGCGGCCATAGCCACTAAACCCAGGTCGCTGTCCCTCCGGCCTGCGCGCTCCGGCTGCCACGTGCTCGAGACGCGCCCACACAGCGGAGAGTCGCGCCCACACAGCGGAGAGACAAAGACAGACTGGCGGCAGGGCTGCCAGCAGCCGCCTCGACATTTAATAAATGAAATTCCATAGCTGGGGGTCGATCGGGGGTGAACGGGCGGCCACCGCTCGTGGGTTGCGTGCCCGGTACCGGCTGGCGGGCCACTCCTCTCGTCCGTCCCTGCCTCCCCTAACCCCCGCTGGGGTCACCAAGTCCATGGACTCCTTGTTGAGGATGCAGCACGGGGCGGCAGGTGGTGCTCCCCCTACACACTCGCGAGGTGTCTTTGCTTGCAGAAGTCTCACCAGCTGAGCGGCTGGCTGTGGGGGGAGGGGAGGCCTGTAAGATTTTTTTTTAAGGTGTGATTATAAAAATATCCCCTGGATCGCGATTTCAAACAAACTTGTCAATCTGGGCCGCAGCAAAAGGCGATGGAAGCAGCTTTGCATGTATTTCGGGTGGTGTGACTCATGAGCATTACTTGTCTCCCCTAGGAAAGGAGCCTGCCCACCCACAAGCCATTGCCGCTCTGCTGGGATAAATCGACCAATTTGGGCGCCCCTGCCCAAAGACTCCCCTTACCTTGTCACCTAGCAGGAGTCCCTGACTCTTGAGGAACCCTGGGTTAATTGCGTCACGACGGACCTGGCCCTCAGGCCTGGTCCTGGGCACCCCTGCCCTCTCCCCACAAGCAGAGTACCCCGGCCTTTTGCTGCTGCGGGGATTGGGGGCTGGGTACACGCGGGGTACACGTGTATAGGGGAGCATGCTCCGTGCAGGGGTGCACCCACGTGCGGCCTGCACCTCGGCTCCCTGCCCCCCACCCATTCACGTCCCTCATCTGCCTCTCCATCACCTGCCTTTCCGTGTGAAGTCCAGGAAGAAAGGCCATCACATGAAACAGCACCTGTATGTTATACGCACAAATTATGGACAGACATCTCTGGTGGCTCAGAAACACTGTGGATATATTTAAGGCGGATGACAAGTGGATATTAGTGCACACAGGCAAGCGTTCACTCCTCAGGAGGTCTTTAAAAACCATCCAGACTATTTCTTCTCTGGGTGGAAGCATGGATGGAGGGATAGATGTATTTTTAGTCCGGAGACAGAGGAAGACACCGCCTGACCTCTCTGACACCCGGGCGTCCATATTGTTGGCGGTGTGCACCTTCAGCCAGAGTGTGACCACCTGGACACCGAGAGGCCTGGACACCGAGATGTGAATGCTTGGGGGAGCGAGACGCACACCTCACCCCAGCCAGAGTTAGCCGGGTACCCAAAGGCCAGCCTTTTGACCAGGAGGGCGGCCTGGGCCTCCAGGTCCTTCCTCCCTTCCCTGATCCCCACCCAACCCGACTCACCGTGCCTGGGCCAAGCGTCCCTCGGGCCACCCCCACGCCGAACGCAAGGGGCTCGGGCCGCGAGGATGCCTCACGCCCCGGCCTGGGGAGCGCCGGAGCGGAGGCCGAG